CACTCCACTTGAGACTGGTTGCCACCTAGACATTGAGCCATTGACTACTACCCTCTGAGCCCAATGACCCAGCCATTTTCCTATTGACCTTACAGTCCATTCATCCGAAACATACATCCATAGCTTGCCTACGAGAATGTTGTGGGAGACTGTATTAAAAGCCTTGCTAAAGTCAAGGTATATTATGTATATCAAGGTATATATAAAATGTAAGCTTGCATGGGAATGGACTCTGGTAGTCCTTGAAAGCAAAGACAAGTAGATTACGTCTGATGTTATGGAAACAAGAGAGTCAGCAGAGGGAGGCAATATAGTCAAAGATAGGAAAATGTATCTGTGGAGTATTATCCCAACTGGTTAGACTGCACTGACAAAGGCCAAGGAAGGGGAGGTTGTAGTAGTCGAAATGTGAGTTTAACAGGATGGATGAAAAAGAAAAGTTTGGATCTTAGAAATGGTGTATTAAGAATAGGCCATTTCTGGACACAGCCTACATAGGCAGATCTAGTGAGAGATTGAGTCAAACCGGATGTCAAGTCACAGTCCTGAGTGTCAGGGAAAGCAGCTGTAAAACCACATTTATCTACTTGGGCCATTTTTGCATCTGCCACACAGCAGCTCAGGGGGACCTTGTGCCTTGCCTATCAGTTAAAATAGCAGTTGCCCTTTACGATGAGTAGGCTAAATGCTGTGGGTTTTCTCAAGAAGAACATGAAGAGATAGGGGCCTGCAAGCTGCTTGCTGAGATTCAAATCTACCAGCTGCTTCAAAGAGGTGTTTGAAGTCTTGAGGGAAAGGCGCTTTAGCTCTCAGGGAAAGTGAGAGTATGTGCTCGCAAAATGTTTCTAATCTGATAACTCTTTAATTTTAATCACCCTGACAGTCTGTGGTGAGGCATGTGGTTAACTATTTCGGGTACAGGAGCTTCTCTCAAAGCCGCAGTCTGCTGCTAGGTTGCACGAATCCCTTAACAATGATGAGATGTGAGGGGTTGAAAGATGTTCAGCAGTTCACATCACGTGCCTGCAGTGGTTCTCTGGGCCTTCTCCTGCCCTGCAATCTCGCTCTCAGCTTTCGCTAAGAGGACGGAGGAAGCAGAAGGGGCACGAGGCAAGAAAGTGGTGGGTGATGCTGGGTGCGGAAATCACTGGGGTTATGTCAGCAAAGCACTGCTCAGAGAGAGGGCATTTGGGGAGACATGGAGACTTCGAGATGAAGGACTGGCTGGCATCACAGACCCTTCCTCTGTTGCGATAGTGCCTACGTTATTGTTTATGAGCACAGGAAATGCAAAGAGGTGGCAGGTAGCAAATTCCAGCTATAACAGCTCGCAAAATGTCTTGAAAATAAATGGCCACTGACCAAACTGTGTATATTTTCCTTTTCTGCCGCTTCCTCACTTCCCCCAGAGCCCTCTTTCCAACAGACCAGCGGTTCTCAAACTCTGACAGATTGTGCACCACCAAGTTAAAAATGATACAGCCTTAAGTACCGCCAGCAAATTTTTCACTTCAACCTTAAGTACCACCAGCAAATTTTTGTCACGTAAGGCAATTACAATAAATCTGTTCATGCATACCACTGACAGGTTGCCTGCATACCGCTGGTGGTACACCTGTCACAGATTGGGAACCGGCGCACTAGACAACTCCTCTAATGGACCAGTCAATAAATCAAATGTCCTTCCTAACACAAACGCCTCGTGCTCAGCTGGCCCTCCACATCCAGAATGACCTCTTTGAGTTTCTGTGTCTTAAATATGTGACATCAAAGATGTGCTTAAATGTGTGACATTGCGGGAAGTGAGAAAATGTCCCAGAATATTAATTCATTCGTTTCTTAGGGTATTGTTGGTTATTGTAGTTGGAGGCAACCACACAAAAGGCTAGTGATGAATATGCCTCTAACTTGAGTTAACATTATTGGCATTTTACACTGGTTGGTGGGTTCAGGAGAAGTTAACTGAGCCCAGTCAACAGGGGGCTGGTGCTGGTGTGAGCTCACACACCAATAGCAGCCAATGGCCACTGCCAACCATTAGCCAACATCCTGGCCCCCATGTTCCTTCTCTCCCAGAATAGCCGCTCCACCTGGCCCACCCTCCTACCTGGCCTCTGACGTGCCTGGAGCAGTGTTGCTTCTGCCAGTGGTGAGAGGGAATGAAAACCACAGGGAATTAGTGGTGGCAAAGCAAAATCTTGCTCTGATGGATTAAAGGCTAATGGCAGAAATCCTGCCTCTACTTAAGTCAATGGTAAAACTCCCAGTTTCTCCCTTCCTGGGCTACTAATCCTACTGATACAAGAAATGGAAGTAGCCCTCACTGCCTTGGAGGAGAAACAATGGCTTTAAATATGTATATTTAAAAAAAGGAGGCCAAAATATTCCAACGCACAGACAGGCATCAAGAACCACATTGTCTAGCCCTGCCCCTAGACACATGAGAAGTCTTTGAGAAGTAGCATTTCAAGTATAATATACTGCAAAGAAATACCCTGGGTTCATTATGCATAATTAACAGCTGTCATTTAATTGCTGTGAAGATTAAATCTAGCTTCTACACTGAGAGACCAATTAGAGGCAATTAGATTAGACAACAGATACAGCCTTTCAGTCTCTAAAATGAAATGCTATTCCCCCTGAAGAGAGAAAGGGGTAAACATGAGTGTCATGAATGAGATGAAACCTGTTTATAGACTCATAGATTCATAGAAGTTGGGTCGGAAGGGACCTTGTAGATCTCCAAGTCTGACCCGCTGCCCTGGGCAGGAGAGAAAACCAGGCTCAAATGACCCCAGCCAGGTAGACTTCTAGCCTCCTCTTAAAGACCCCCAGGGTAGGAGCCAGCACCACTTCCCTTCGAAGTTGGTTCCAGATCCTAGCCGCCCTGACTGTGAAGTAGTGCCTTCTGATGTCTAGTCTAAACCTACTCTCTAACAACTTGTGGCCATTATTCCTTGTTACCCTGGGGGTCGCTAGGGGGAACAAGGTCTCTCCCAAAACCTGCTCGTCCCCCCTAGTGAGTTTATAGATGGCCAGCAAGTCCTCCCTCAACCTTCTCTTGCGGAGGCTGAACGGGTTCAGGTCCCATCGTCTCTCCTCATAGGGCCTGCCCTGCTGCCCCATGATCATGCAAGTGGCTTCCTCTGGACCCTCTCAATGTTGTCCACATCTCTCCTGAAGTGCGACGCCCAGAACTGGACGCAGTACTCCAGCTGTGGCCTGACCAGTGTCACGTAGAGGGGGAGGATCACCTCCTTGGCCCTGTTTGAGATGCATCTGTGGATGCATGACAAGGTACGGTTAGCCCTGCCAACCGTGACCTCGCATTGTCGGCCCATGTTCATCTTGGAGTCAAACCATGTAAGGGGCCTTAGCTTTTCTAACACCCCTCCTACAGACCCGAGCAGTGGTGGTATACTCCTCTTTGGTGATAGTCCCTCCCTTCCACCAGGTGTACACCTCCTTTTTGGCAATCAGGCATTCACAAATGCCATTGGTGAGCCAGGGGGGATTTTGGGCACTCTTGCCCCAATTGCTTCTTGTTGGGATGGTCACCCCTTGGGCTCTGAGTATCATCTCCTTAAGGAATGACCACTCATCTTGGGCACTGAGTTTCCCTACTCTCGAGGACCCCAGCGCCTCTCCCACTAATCTCAACTCACTGAAGTTGGCCTCTTAAAGTCTAGGGCTACTACCTTGTTGAAGGCCCTTGACACCCTGCACTGGATGGTGAATTCCAGCAGGTGATGATGGCTGTCACCCACGTGGTTGAGGACCTACAGCCCTCTTACCAGGTCACTGACTGTGGCCAGGACCAGGCCCAGCAGGGCATTCCCCCAGTAGGTCTGTGCATCTCCTGGCTTAAGTGTAGGTCCTGTATCTTGGCCAGGAACCTCCATGAGCGGTCCAACCTGGCTGATGGCTCCTCCCAGCAAATGTCCAGGTGATTTAGATCACCCATGACAACTACATCCCTTGCTTTAAGTGCCTCCACAAGCTGACCCAAGAATTCGCGGTCCAGCTCTTCCCCTTGGTTGGGAGGTCTGTAGTAGACCCTCACCATTAAGTCCCTAGTAGATTTCCATGCTTAGATTTCCCTGCTATAGCAGCATACCTAGCAATCATGTGTAGATCCATGTGATTGCTACGTCGCTGTAATGTGCTGTACAGCAATGTAGCATATTGCTGCATTGCTGTAGGGCAATACGCACACGTGCCCAGAGAAACCTAGGGAATGCAAGTAGCTACTGTTACAAATAACAGGAGGGGAAGGACACCTCGATTCCAGAGGAAGTGGGGTTCAGTCTGTGCAAATGCATGGGTTACCAGGGACATGCCAAAACACTGCTCCCCCCATGCTTTCAACCCACTGGCCTCCTTTCCTTTGGCATTCCAGAGACAACCATCAAGGACCTCACACAGCTGTCATCTAGTGCCCCACTTTGCTTTTGCAGAGACTCCAGTTGGGCATCACTCTTCTGCAGCTGTGCTGGAGCCCTTTGAAGGGGACTATCCTGATTTGGAGTAAATATTCTTGGGATCATTTTCCATCTAACCTGGGATTTTATCTGCACTTTCCATCCCAAGAGATCTAGTTCTCCTCATCAGAGGCTCCCATTACAAACAGTCTAACCTAGGATTTTATCTTCCTTAGCCAAGAGGGGTAAATTCTTTGAAGTCTCTCCCTTCCCACACTTTGAGCCACGTTCCACCTTGGTAAATTTATCCCCTTCTGTGGAGCCGCTTCTGATTTACACCCATGTTGTCAAGAGCAGTCAGAGCTCAGGTAATGAGTTTCACTCCGGGCATGATCTTGTATCAGCAACTCCTTCAACTTCCAAGCCATCAATGAGCTGAAAGATGCAAGTTCTCAGTGGCAGGAAAGGACTTTATAATGCAACCCCATGGGCAGAACTGGAACAAGGTGTTCTTCTTCCTTGGTTGTTTAAGATCCAACTCTACACTTTAACCCTAACACATGCCCTTTCTATTCGCAGACAAATGTAGTTCGCCACCAAGCATTGAGTTTGCTGAGTTTACCACAGAAAAATACATGGTGAGCAGTACAGCACGATATGCGTGTGAACCTGACTACAGAAAGAGAAGTGGGTCATCAGGAATAATTGCATGCAAGAACATATCTGGGCTCGTTCAGTGGGACTACGACACCAATTTTGAATGCATCCGTAAGTAATCACCCTTCCTCCTGCTAAATAGAAGCACATTTCTTCCATAACTGAATGTGACGGCTGCACAAGTAATTTCCAATTGATTTTGGTATAAGTGGCCATGATTCACTGCTGTAGTGAACTGCACTCTACATTATGGTCTCCCCCAAATAAACCTTCCTGATATTGGCTCCCATTGACATTACAACCCTAATGGAATCCAAAGTGTTTATATGACATTAAAACAAAGGGTTTCACATATTAGTTGCTTGTGGAAGAAACAAAATTTACCAACCTAATGTGGCAGGGCACTTGGGGTAGGACTGCCAATCTGGAGCACCACCGCAGAAAGGACAACTGAAGCAGTCTGGACGTTTGGATAGGAACTAAGGGGATGGAGGAGGTTCCTAGGGATGCAGGCTGGGACCCAGGTGAGCCCAGAGTGAGGGGCTCAGTATATAAGACCTACTCTGAGGCTCAGATCAGCTCAGAGACAGAGGCTGAGAGCTTAAGAGATCTGCTGAGTAGCCTCAGAGAATGGACCTGAGTAGCCTGAGAGAGTGGACCTGTGAGAGGGGCCCAGAGCTATCAACTGGACCAAGGTGGGGTCAGGGCCTAGAAGAAGCCCAAGGCACAGGTGTGGCCACAGCCATAGAGGAAGGGGTCAGAGAAACCGAGGCCCAGAATAAGGATGGCAGTGATAGGGCCATCAGAAGTGGACAAGGGTCTGAGAAAGAGAGAGCCAGAGGTAGGCTGGAAGAGGGAGAGGGCTGAGCCCAGGTGGGGGCTGCATTGAAGCCAGTGAAGGCCAGGGGCTGAGAGAAGAAAGAGCCATGGACAAGGGAGCCCCAAGTAAAGGGCAACATCTGTAAAGGGACAAAATTGCTTGTAGCCAGAGTCTGAGGGCCCAGAAGAGGGCTGCATGGGTGTAGGCATGTGACAAAAAGAACATCCATGATGATGCCATCTGTGAGGCATGGGACATGGTGTAGGGGAGGTATGGAGCCATGCAGTCAGCCTATAAGGCCAAAGACCACAGTTACCAGGTGGTCACTAAAGCAAGACCAGGTCTGGGAAGCCTCCCTTTTATAACCATAAGAGACATCACGAGGTGGCAGGAAAGTGAAGGGGAGACTGTTCCCAGAGTGAGATGGGCAAAAAGCGATTTTGGGGGGGCTTATAGCCACCCCTGAGGATGCCACCCTGCTACACTTAGAGTCACAGCAAAGGGCTTACGATCTGACATGTGCATGGTGCCTTTTTGATGCGAGTGCTTCAACTGCGGACAAACAGAGATGATACCAGACTTTTGATTTGAGCTTTGGGGTAGTTTGGAAGTTTAGGACACCTAAAACCATGCAAGTCACCCACAAGATACACAAGCTGAGTAACAACCCTCCAGGGACGTAGTCTGAGCAAAGGGAAGAGGACTTTCTCTTAGCTCAGACCTACTTCATTGCATCGCTGCTGCTTCTGCAGTTCATCCTCTTACCACAATCAGTCCTTGTGCCTAACAACATTTTTCAGGTGCTTGCTGGTCCCTTGGGGAAGCTGGCCACATGGCAAAGAGGGAATTGCACTACCACATCTCCTTCTATCACACGCTTATTCTGGTTCAACAGAGACTAGATGCAGCCATGAGTTATTTTGACATTTTTCAACCTGATCTGATTCAGGGAATATGTATTTATATCCACATCCCTAGAGACAGACCTATGATTTCAGCCTTATTTGCCAGAAGTCCAATACTTCCTACACAGGCCTGGGGCTTGATCGTGATATGTGATTCCCATTATATAGTCATGAACACGATTAAAGACAAATGCTGGGGCCAGTCCCATGCATTCAGCTGCCAAAAGCAGAGAGGCACCTCTCCTGACTTAAACTGAATTGCACCATGGCTGAATGTATCCTGTGTATATGTATTTTGGATGGGACGTGGATTTAGGGAGAACATCTCTAATAAGGCATGTTCCAGCTCTGTGATAACAATGCAGCCTATGTGCCTCATTTAGTTCCTCTGTCTCGAATCCTGTCATTCGCTGTTAAACAACACATGAACCCACCTAAATGTATTGGGAGAAGCATCTCAACCACACAACACTTTTGATCAACCCAGTAGTTATTAGGCAAAACTCACCTGTAGTGTCCACTTATTTAAAAACAGCAGGCACAAGGGGATGCTTCCACAAGCTCCTCTGGTGGCTGAATATTTATATCTTTCCATTATCTTTCTTTTTATCTATCAGTATATATTAGCCCCTAAAATCCTCTGTTAACTCTCCTTCCTGTTCAGTACACATTCTGTATTAAACCGAACCAGATTTTTTTGGCTTTAGGATCAGCCGTAACTTTTTTGTTCCATTACAATTATATGCTCACTTGCCATTTCTTATGCATGCATGGTCCTCTTCATGCTAAGGTTGGTTAGAAAGCCATTGGTTCATAGCAGGCTCTTTTGACCTTAAATAGGCCATTACTGCCAACAATAAGGATAAGGAAGCCATTACCTTTCCCTTCAAAGCAAGGGAAAATTGATGCTAAATAAGAGAAAAACTTCCTTGCACAGAGATGCAATGTACTGAGCTGGAGAACAGTCTCTCCAGAGAAATTCTGGAAACCCTGTTGCTAGCATCATTTAAAACTGAGACCTACAGGGACGCAGGAGTTGCCGTACTGGATGCGGCAAGTTATCCCCCTCATCCTGTATCTTGTCCCACCAATGGTCAAAAGCAGATGGCATAAGACCCCCACAGTGCAGAACTAAAGAAAAGCAGGGCTTCTTGGGAGTGCATTTAGTCCAACTCTCTGCTCAAGGCAGGATCACCCCCAATCTAACACATTTTAGACAACCCGAACCCAAACCATCAGAGATACCACAACCTCCCTAAGCAGCCAGTTCCAGCGTTTAATTATTTTCACGCTTAGGCTGTTCTTCCTAATAACTAACCGTAGTGTCCCTTCTGACAGCATAGATAGTAAATGTGGAATAATATGCCTATATACTTCACCGTGTGTGCTGTAAGGAACAAGCCTGCGCTGGCCAGAGCACGCCGAGGTAACCTAGCATTGCCTGTAATCTCTTGCTATTCTGATTGTACAACACATCAGGTGTCCTTATAGAGAAGACTAAGTTTAATCTTGCCCACAGATATCTCCAACTTGTCCTCGTTTTCACGCCTCCCAGAAAGAACAAGGAGCAGCAGGCCTGTGACCTCACAAACTGTGAAACAACTTGCGTCAAAAGGTAAAACATGCAGCAATCCCTGCTTATCCTAATCGTGCTCCCATTGACTTCCATGGGAGTTGAGGAAAGCCAGTGTCAGGCCCTATATAAATTCCTACCCTTCAATATTATAATATATAGCTGCCGATTCAGAACTTATTCTCATAACCCTGGCTTGTTAGGAGTCATAACAAACTAGTGCTTTTTCTTGTCTGGCATAAGGATGAAGGGAAAGCACCCGACGTTGTGACATCCGGCTATTGCGGGTGCGGGCATGGGCCAGGTTCTGTCTTACCTGGCACCTTTGTTTCTCCTCGGCAGACCATCCGATTCAAACTGCAGTCAGACTTGGAGAAGTTAAAAATTGGGGTGTCTATCACCCCTCTCCTAGACAGCTTACCAGGCTGCTGTGTTTGGAGCCGACCACTGCATCCTGCAAGCACGGAGTATCTAACCACCTTTTGACTCTGTTGTCTGCTGTTCATTCCCAAGGTGCAGATCCCCTGTCTGTTGCTCAGACCTGCGGTCTCATGTTCCAGGTGCCGTAGGGCCTGAGACAAATGATGGACCCCCTGCATCTCCCTATTAATGCAATGTGCCCTTTCCCTGACCAAGAACAGCCTCTTTGCTTTGAGCAAATAGATGTCCCGGGGTAACAAATGGACGCATGACACCTACAGCAATGTAATTTTACCCCTGTTTTTTTCTGGATTAATTACACTGGATTCTGGTGTGTTACTTTGGGCGAGTATATACCTTGCTTATAACAGTGTAAATGGGCCAAGATATGCAACCAAAGTAAACAAACCCATCGAATTAAATCAAGCTTCTTTTCAGCTTCTCGATCAAATGAGACTCTTTCAAGTTACAACCTTTTAGGGTGTTTATAGATGTGCTCCAGGAGGCAGGGGCTAGGAGTGCTTTAATTAGTACAGGTCTAAGAGCCACGCTAATTAAAAGCACCAGGAGCGGCACATGTATCAGCACCCCTGTGCTGAAAAATGGCAGTGGGGTGCTTTGAACGAGCTTTAATTTAAAGGGCCCCACCGCCATTTTTCAGTGCAAGGATGCTGATACAGGTGACACTGGAGTCTTGTCCCAGCAGGGACCCAGCAATACCTTAAGAACGACTGAATTAATGAAACTATATTACTAATTACCATTCTCCAAGAGACTCGATTAATCGAGTCTGCTCCGACGAGGTGTAATTACAGTGTGTTGGAGCAGCCTCCCTGCATGGGTAGAGGAGCTCTTAGAGTGGAGCTGAGCGGTGGTCCATATGAAAGCAGCTCTGTGCCCCACTGCTCTCAAGTTTGTGTATTTAAGAACTATTGGAAAATAAGCTTAATCCAGTTTAACCATCTCTGAAGTGATGTGTCTGGCTGAATAATTTTCATATGGAAAACAAGACCCCATGACAAAAAAATATTTGAGAGAGACACTCATTCGTCTGCTTTAATAATTTATTTACCACAGTGCAATCGATTTGTCCTGGCGGTCGCCAGATCTGTCAGCTCTTTGGCTTATGAAATAACTCGATCTGGATGAATAGGTGCTGAGTGAGCAGTGTAAGCATTTCTCAAAGAATCAAGCCTCTTGGTTTCGTCACGTGTGCACAGTTCGTGCCGGTTCAAACTGCACTGATCTGATAAGGGTCGTCGTGGGTTAAATATAGCCCCCAGCTAACCACAGGCCTTCCTTCGATCTTGTAGGGTTCTGCGGGCTGCCCAGGCCTGTTCAACATGCTCACCTCACTGCATATTTATACCCCGTGGGGCAGAAACTGCAGTACAGCTGTCTGCGAGGCAATGACGCTCGACCCCCAACCTCTGCCATCACCACATGTGAAAGCACGGCAAAGTGGACCACACTACATCTGCAATGCACCAATGACAGTAAGCATGCCGGTTATTCACACGCTGGTGCGATGGGACGCCATCACACTCACAGACCCCGACGAGCAGGGATCCCGCTTTTCTCTGCTTTTAAAAAGAGCCCCAATTTTGGGTTAAAAAAAAAGTAACCCCAAATCCACATTTTTTTCCCATGATTTAAATGCAACGTCACTAATATGGAGATAGGTATAGAGTTCTGTTTCATTTTGATCATGGGAAAATGTGGAGCTGGGGTTACTTTTTTTTAATCAAAAATTGGGGATTTTTTTTTAAATTAGAGAAAACCAGGGTCCCTGCTGATGAGCAAGTTGTTGGCTCCAGTTCATTTTCACTTCCCCTAGACCAAGTGCTGTCCCTTCTCTGTCCGAGAGCTAACTGTGAGCCAGGGCCTCAGATGGATGGAGCAGTAGGATGAGGAGCATGCTGATCAGCAAGCACAAAGGTCAGGCCAGTGCCTGGCTCTGCCTGACTGCTGTGCATGTGTAGGGGAAGAGGCAGGTGTAAGGGACTGGGATGCAGGCGGTCTTGCTTAATGGTTATACCACTGAGAGAAAGTAGGGGGCTGGGGCAGAGGATGGGAGCCATATTACCAAATCCACATGCAAGTCCAGGGGCAGAGTCCACAACACAGATCAGGATCCAGAATCCGGGGGATAATTCACAGAGTGACGTCCAAGAGCAGAGTCAAACCAGCATCAGGACCAGGCAACAGATCCAGTGGGAAATCCAAAGCCGCTGTCCAAAACTAAGCCAAAGCTAGGGTCAGGAACCAGGAAAACCAGGGAGCGGGAACCAGGAGGCTTCACAGCAGAGCTGTTGGCTGGCCTGCAGTCCCAGGGCCAGATGGATAGGCAGGTCTCCCAGCAGCCAGTGAAGGTGCTCACTGTTCCTAAACTGCAGCAGAGCTCACCGCAGGTGCGGCTCCTGAAGCACTTGGCCCAGGCTGGGCTGCCTGATCAGAGCCTCTACCAGAAGGGAGATCTCTCTTGCTGAAGCTGGTGGAGCTGTGCAGCATGGTTGGGATCACAATGCATGATGTTCTCTGGACCATCATTTAACAGAGCTTTCCAGACGGTGTTTCGATTGGAGAAACCTGCGGCACCCTTTAGCCCTGGTCTTTTTGGATCTGATTGAGCTGGGCTGGCTGGAGCCCAGCTACCGCTGCAAAACCTGCTTCTCCGGCACCTGAGCAGCTTAAAACCCACCAGTAATCCTACCCCTCTGCCCCAGCAGACATCATCCTTGTATCAAGGAATAGCTGAAGATGATGACTTGGGCAGTGCGACTGGCAGATGAGAAATAAAGAATCGCTTTACTATAGATGCGCACTTCACTGCTTCCCAGTCCAGCAACGTGGATTGCCATTTCTCCCCCATCTCCACCGTGCACCAGAACTACATCTCTCGTGCAGACAGGAAATGTTGCCTCTCAGGGGGTTCTTTGCTATGGCAATGCCTTTGCAGAGATGTCACGGGCAAACCTAGCCAAGGTGTCTAGACAGGCCCCAATGACCCTATTATACGAGCGTCTCTCAATGGTTGGGGTATTCTTCTCACAATATACGGGGGGGGTGGTCTTCCCCATGTCATAGGTGGGGGGTTGAGGCACAGACAGCCGACAGCATTGCTGAAGCTCTCACAAAGTCTGCAGCAGAGCAGGGATGTGAACCTGGGTCACAAAAGTCTCCCGCACTGGAGAATTGGCCTCCTCCAATCTGATGCATAAAAGTATTGAGGCTCTTAGCTGGCTCTCCATGCACTAGAGCATGCAGCTGCCATTACACCCTGCATGTTGCTCCCAGAGATTTGAGGAACAGGTTGGACCATGGGCGGCTAACCTGTGGCATGAGTGCTGCAAGCAGCCCAGGCCGCCCCTGTGTGCAGTGCATGGCAGATTGGAGAGGGGGCAGGTAGGGCAGGCAAAGCAGCCAGCTAAGCAAGCAGCACAGGGAAGGAAGCAGAAAGCAGAGCAGCAGATTGGGCAGGGACCACATGGCTGGGAACAGAAAGCAGAGCAACAGATGGGGTGGAGGATGGGAAATCCAAGTGGCACTTGGGGAAGGCTCAGGGCTAATTATCGGCATGCCTCCCAAAAATGCTGGCCCTAGCTAAGTTAGACAAACACTTATCCAGGGTGGTTTAGATGGGGATGATCCTCCCTGGAGCAGGGAGCTGGATTTGTGTGGCCTCCTGAGGTCCCTTCCAGCCCTCCTTGTCCATGGCTGCGCTGCCTCCCGGAGAGGAGGGGTGATGGGCTGTTTAAGCTGCAAACACAGCAGTTCTTGCCAGGGCATGCAGGGCAGGAGCTGTCAGTTCAGCCTGACCGCATCTGCCCCACATTACTGCTCGGGTCCTCGAAACGAACCACCCTGGAAGCCCCACTTCAAGAATAAATAGGAATCTGCTTTCGTTACAGGTACGGCCGAGCCAACTCACATTACGCCTACAATGCATCCCGTGGCAGGTACCTCAGAGCACATAACTTGGCTGGGGGTGGGGGGTTCCCATACCTTTGGGACAGATACTTTCCCTCTTCGCAAGGCTCAGCATTGGCCAAAACCACATAATTTCTTGGCTTCTCTCACTACCGGTGGCTTCAAAGAAAAAAGACTTCTGAACCCCTGTCTCCTGAGCCCTAAGCAAATCTCCTTACCCGTGCTACATCTGCCCCCACTCAATCCGAAGCCCTGAGGTTGCACCCAGTTCCCTGAATATGCAACTCACATCATATTCACCGATAGCATGCTCATGCCCAAGGGAGTCAGAAAAATCAGTAAAGAGGTGTCTCTCTTTTCTTTATAGGCGTAGTAGATCTGTCCCATTTTCCACCTATGACATTTCCAGTAACAGGTACAGGAACCAATGTGTTATCTGGGGGCGTGGAGAGGGGGAGGCACTTCTCCCAACCCTGAGCCAGACCCAGGAAGACGTGGCTCCTATCCTACTCATCCATAGCAGGCGGCAGGCAGCGCAAACTCTTGGGATGGAAGCGTTGATTGGCTGTTTAAACAGCAAGCAAAGCAGCTACTGCAAAGGTGTGCGGGCAACGAGCTGTCTGATCCCACCTGCCCGTGATCTAGACATGAGCAGACCCGCTCAATGGAAGCCGCACACCAAAAGCAAATGCCAATCTCATCGCAGGCCCAGCGGATCCGTCTTATTTTGCACCCCCAACGCGTCCAGTAACAGGCACATCAGACAGAGCTCATTAACTGGGTCGAGGCAGGGGGTCCCCCCATTTTGAGAACTGGGAGAAACAGTTTATATCACAGCCAACAACGTCAGCTAGCAGCCGGTCTCACACCCAGAGGTAATGGGTTGTTCAAGAAGCAAAGGCGGCACTTTCGATCGCTGAGTGTGCAGTCAGATCTCAGATATAGCTTGGCCTCGCCGCTTTACATTGCTGCTTGGATAGTAGGAACGGGCAGTAGCTATCACTGGAAAGAGTAAATCAACATAAATCTCTCATCTTTTTACAGTGACGACTAAGCCGTTCCATTTGACATGTAGGACGGCCGTAATAACAGGTACAACCGAGGTCTTTAGGGTAGAGCTGGTAATTCTCCCTCCTTCCAGTTTTCAGTCCTAGCCTGATCCAGTGCTTGACCACTATCAGAGGCAGAAAGTCCCTGCTAATCTCCAATCTAAATTCCCATTGCTCCCAGTCCTGGCCTCCACAGCCACGCAGAAAAGGCCGTTTCCAGTTGAAGACTGTTATGAAAGCCCTCTGCAGCCTTCTCTTCTCCAGGCAAAATTACCCTAATGTGTTCAGCTTCTCTCATAAATCATGCTTCCCAGGTCTCTAATATCTCATTTTATGTACTAGGCTGCAAACCTTGAGGGGGTGAGAGAAATGATTTACGGCAGTTGTAAACACTGAAGCTTTTTAGGGTGCAATTTTGCAAGGCGCCTACAGTAGTAGATTTAGCTAGATTTTTTTTTTTGAGGGAGTGAAATAGTAAATTGACTGAAACATGCAGATCTGGGGACCCATGAAAAAAAAATCTCTGAAAATTGAAGTCAGATTACAAATTAATTTCATACAGAGAAAAAAAAAAAGATGGGTGAGGGGCAAATCCCAGACAACATCTTCTAGGAGAAAGCATATTAACTTCATTTGTTGGCATTAGTCTGGTTTCAAAAACTGGTCACCTCCTAAAAAAAAAAACCCCAAACCCCAACATCTGGGTAAAAAAGGATTAAATGACCTAAAAATGAAATGTTTCCTTTCACAGCGAAGGGGACATTTTGGTCCATCTGAAACATTTCCTCCCCAGTATTGTGGTTCAGGTGCCAAGACAAAAAAGGGGAAAAAAAGGTTATTTACTGAACTTTAGTTTGAAGGACCACTCTCGCTTTGAGTCCACTGGGTCACGATGACTGTGATCCTTCCCGGGCTGAGTTCAGGTCAGAGGCAGAAGCAGCTGCCACCCAGGGGAACTAATACAACTATGAACAGCCAAATCAGAGGCCATCTCTGCCAAATGTCTAATTAGTTTTAGTCTAATTAGGGACCCAAGCTGCCTCTCACTGTGGATTCCTGATCCCAGCTGGGGGCTTCTCGGTGTTACTGTCATACATAACAACGAGCAAAGTGGGGGAGTGAATAGCACCCCTGGGGCACAGGTACCCCCAAAGATATTTTGCAATGCTGAGTGCTGTTAGTCTGGAGGTCTCTCCTATATCACCTCTCTTAAAGCAGAGGTCAAAAGCTGTGTGGTTGTATGTTGGTGAGCTCCTAGCCCCGATCCTACGTCCACTTTGATCAGTCAGCTTTGGGAAAACCATAGCAATCACACTGCGGTGTTTCAGTTCATGCTTCCTGCTCACTCCGATCTTTGTCTTTTTTAGCTGTTACAATCCCTGTCGTGTTGCTGAGCGTCTTCATCTTTGCCGGGTGGATCTTCGCCAAGTATGGTGAGTAGCAAGAGTTAGTTAACTCTAAAAATCCCCGTGATGCAAGGAGTTATTAGCCAAATCATTCTCCTGGACCATAAGCAGCCCAGGCTGGATTCGTGGCTATATCCTTTGGCATCAGAGGGATGACTGTGCTTTTCTTTTCCCTTCAATATATAAAATAAAGTAAAAAAGAAAAGCACAGATGAAAGCATGTTAAGGTTGAGGTGGAGACATAGCCTTGCCATCCACGTCATCTTGCAATCCTTGTTATCTTGAAGATAAATCTGTCAGAGTGAGGTGTCAGTGAGGGGAACCGCACAGTTGAGTGGGAGAGCGCTCTGAAGAGGAAATGAAGTTTAATCTATGCAAATGTGAAGAATTTCAAGTCATTAACATCGTGTGTAATTTTATTTCTAGCTAATCTCTGAGAAGCATGGCTGCTTTCACTGTACCCATGTACCTTAACTGCCCCCCATGCCTCAGGTTTAGCAATCAAGTTCTGACTAAATTCCTTTCCACGTTTATTCGTGCCACATCCATTTATTATACCAGTTGTGCTTCTTCTGCTACATTATTGCTGAAGTCAGATTATAATGCAAGCCAAACACTTCCTTACTCCCCACTCTTAGAAAACCTCTACAGTAATAGCTCTACACAGCTCTTTCCTTTCAGCCCCCTTCATGCTAGGTCCTGAGAGCCGGACAGCTCTGAGCACAACATTACCTTTGATTAACTAAGGAAAATTAGCACAGATGGTTTTGATACTTCTGCAAGCAGATGTGCTAAGACCATTGCCACATTTGCAAACCAGTTCCACTGAACATTGTTTAATACAGGGTGAAGAAGGGTCTGGTAAAGCCACGCAGATGTCTAATTTGGTTTAACGATACATGCAATCACCGGGATCGCACAACAAACACTTACGACTGTGAATGTATTTGCCAAATGCAATTTAGTGCTGGGCAAACGGGGGCCAAAACAAAATGCAACCAAACGTTCTGCTCATTTTTGTAATTTGCCCTCATTGTTTGAACGGTTCTCCCCACTTCCTGACACCATCAGGAAGTTCTGAAAGCAAAATTGCCACCGCCTGTAGGAGAAATCACGTGCTGAGAAAGCCTCCGCTGCCTGGATAGAAAGCAAGCCAGGAGAGTGCAAGAGACTTTTGCCATAGTCTTACACACCTGGGAAGTTTGCCCTGCATGCTTAAAAGACCACGCTCCAATCTCAGCTAACTCCGCAGGCCAAATCCAGGTCAGCTCCACAGAAGCTGAACTCAAGTTTCCCTACACCATTGAAATGGATATGGGATGTTGGGGAGGGGGGAGGCACAAGGGCTTTTGCTGGAGATGACTTCTACTGCCCTGGTGGTGTTGGCTCAAGTGCACATTTCAAAAGCAATGGTTGGGCCCTTGCTCAAAAAGCCAATCACTCCGGCCTTCAGCTGTCACCTGCAATTTCCCAGGTTGTGGGAGGTTTACAAGGATGGTGGCAACAATACAGCTGTAGCTGATGGATATTAAGCCAGAGTATAGGACTGAAACTTCATTTGCCACCTTGGTTATGATCCTTCAGACAAAGGGAGGAAGAGCATGTACCCTCTTCTGAGTCCTACAGACCAAAGGGGCTTGCTGATGATCAGTAACTTGCAGGGTGGTTGGGGCTGCTTTGGAGGAACTCTGCTCCATCCTTTTAAGAACCCCCAAAAGATGGCGTTGGCCAATCTCTATTACCTCCCCACCTGTATCCACCCTCCCTTTTAACTGTGTATTGAGAACTGTCGGTAGCAGGCAGATAAGACATACAAGTCCTGTGTCCAGTTTTGGGCCCCCCGCTACAGAAAGGATGTGCACAAATTGGAAAGAGTCCAGCGGAGGGCAACGGAAATGGTTTGGGGGCTAGGGGACATGACTGGTGAGGAGAGGCTGAGGGAACTGGGCTTAATTAGTCTAGAGAAGAGGAGCCGGAGCCGGGATTTAATAGCAGCCTTCAACTCCCTGAAGCGGGGTTACAAAGAGGATGGAGCGAGACTGACAGAAGAAGGAGCAATGGTCTCAAGCTGCAGCAAGGGAAGTTTAAATTAGATGTTAGGGAAGACTTTCTCACTAGGAGGGTAGTAAAGCTGGGACAGGCTACCCAAAGAGGTTGTGGACTTTCCACCCTTGGAGGTTTTGAAGACCTGGCTAGACAAAGCCTTGGTTGGGATCATCTAGTTGGGGCTGGTCCTGCTTGGAGCAGGGGGTTGGACTCGATGTGACCCCCTGAGGTCCCTTCAACCCTCATTTTCTATGACTCTCTGATTCTAAGCTCCAGGGTCCTCAGCTCTGGGGTCTCTTATTCTCCTAGAGGCCTGATACCATTTAAGTTGAAAGGTGATTGAGGTCTGGATTAGATACAGGTAGCTAGGTTCAGTCCTGATGAGACTCATAGGGTGCCTACGAAAGGGTGGAAGCAGCTGTCAGAGGTGTTTTCTGCCTGGTGCTGTGTGGTCTCTGATTATTGACCAATTCCAGCCTTACACTTAGGATGCTAGTTTATATATATATTTTTAAATCCTAATTGTTCATTTATGTAACGGCAACTATAGGATCTAAGTGCCAGGGACCAAATGGCAACAAACCCCACTCCCTTATCCTCTCCAACAGAGAACATTAAGAGAAATGTATCATTCTGACACCCTGTCCTGTGATTTTAGTGTATTGCTACAGGACAAAAAAGAGGAGCTTTGTAGAAGATGCAAATATTAAGATGGCCAATTGGACAACCTCTTCTCCAACTGCACCAGCAAGAAAAGAAGTAGGAAGCGAGGAAGAAGGTCAAAGTTTCAAGTTGAATGTCTGAGGGGGGAGATGATATTTTAAGGTAGATTGCAGAGGGATGGTTTTGACCACAACCAACAGCCAAGACGTCTTAGCTTGCAGTGGCTGGGAAAGACTTACAGTTTGCTGAATACAGGCCGTACAGAATCATTACCAGAAAAAGAAAATGCTCACTTTGATGCTGTTTGCTGGAAGGGTCTTCCCACCCCGTCCGTCCCCTACCGCTGGTTTGACTGGTTTGTTAATTCTAATGAGTTGTTCTTATTCAATATCCTTGGCACTTATGTGTGTATCTATATATTTACATGGCTTGAATTGAATCCTGCTGGGATAAGCCTTACTTATGTATATCTTTATTAAGATGGGTAGGTAATTTTATGGCTTCAGTGGATTATAAGATCCATGTACAGACATTTTCCTTTTCAAAGCTATTATTTTGTGGTGGGAAAAAATATCTCCTGTGCTTGTGGGTTTCTTCACACCAAGCACTGATACAGATTACTCATTCCTACAGGGTCTGACCCTCTTGCTACTTATTGCTGACAGCTCCTTCAGACATCTGCTACAGATGGGTCGGGCACGCACACACTATTGCTGGAAACTGGACTTCCACAGGGTGTCTTGTCCTGTTCCAGATAGTTCAAGGGAAAGTCTAATAGTACCCCTGTCCCTAACATGCGTAGGATGGTGCAAAGTTACCCAGATAAGATGTCCTATGTCCCCAACTGATTTGGCATTTGTCCCCTCACTCCCCAGCCTTGCTGACCCATGAGCAACCTCTACTCGGCCTGTTCTTCATTTTTGAGCCTTCCTACTGAGGTCGGTGGCTTGATAATAAAGCACTATTAAGCCAGTGTGGATGGGTGGCAGGAGAAACAACCTTGTGGAAATACCATCCTGGGTTTTATTATCCCTAATAAATTAAGTGCCGTATCTCACCATGTCTACATGAGGAACAGCTTCAGTGAAACACCCAGAGCTGTTTGAGGAGAGCTAATATGCAGCTATAGCCTTATTACAATTTATTCTTGAGCATTCAAAAACAAAGTGGGCACTACAAAGAAACACGGCATTGTCCTTACCTAACGGGTTCACAGCCAAGCTAGTTTAGGGTATTTATGATCTACTGACCACAGAATTACAGGCTCACCCTTCTTCCTCTAAGCCATTCTTGACCTTGCGGTCACTCACCAAACACACATAAACTATCGGAGGGGATATCTCAACCTCTTCCCCATGCTTCACACAGGTTAGACACCACTGGCATGGCTCACTCGGTTCAAAAATTCCTGCCATTTCTGCCTAATGCAATGTGGCAGATGGGAGGAGCAGGAGGCCTTCAGTAGCCTTGAAGTCTTGCCAGTCATTTGGCTTTCTACCAGGCAAGGCCTTTCTTCCTGAACTGCAACAAGTCACCTGTATCTACAATATGCCTGGTGAGCAGAGGCTCTCCATGCCTTCAGGGATTGTTTGAAGAATTTGTTTATCCTTTTCACTTTGCTAATAGGGTTGAATGTTTCCCTCCTTTAGCTAGTAGCTATTAGATGTCCTCTCAGGACTGTCCAGGGGACCCCAGCCAGCCGTCTTGGGCAGACCAGCTCTTCAGGGCTAGGACTCTACCCAAGGCCTTCATCCTTTGGTGTGCTCTACAGCCAGACTCGATGTCTACAAGGATCCCAGCTGAAGTCAGCAGAGCTTTACAGGAACCAGTGGCAAGAAGGTCTGGGGCCCTGAGCACTGTCTACCCTTGGAGACAATGGAGGCGAGACTTGATGTACCCGTCATTCATGCTAATAAAGTATAGGGTGCTCTTTCTTTATTTACATGAGCTCATTTTCCTTTGTAGTGAATGAATAAATGCAGAGAAGACTTTGTGACTAAGGTGAAATGCAGTCAATAGTCTTACCATTTCTACTCCGTGGGAATTTTGAGTAATTACAGTTAAAATAAATTATAGTTAAAAAGAAGCACCTTCCTGCAAGCCGAAAGCCGTGCTTTTCAGCCTGCTCTAGTGAGAGATGTGGGCTTGAGTCTCCTCTTGTAAGACTAAGTAGAGTAAGCCCTTTATCTGCAATAAAGTCAACTCAGCTTTAGCCTGGTATGAGAGAGGATTGCCACAGAGCCCTTATGCTCACTGGGTGCTGCTGGGCGGGGGGCGATCCCCACTGTCCCATACTGCATGGAGGGCTCTGCACGAGCCCCCTCGCCCCCCGCCTTCCCC